CAAGGTCTTCCCTTCTCTCCAGCTACAATCAGCTGGAAGTGAGCAGCAGCCGCTGAGGTGAAGCAGTCACTCTGGGCCGGCACAGCCTTGCTCCCCTCACCCGGGTGGCCTTGAAGGCAGCTGAACTTGTGAGCTTCTCATCCCCAAACCCCTACCCCCCACATGGCCTGCAAAACAGAATTCCTAAATTTTCCGTGACTTTCTTCTTTCCCTGGCTCCCCAGACTCAACATTTTTTAACACAAGAGGTTTTTTTTCTCTCAGAAAACCGAGCATATAGTTTTGGGAAGTGTTGAGAAATCACCCTTTCAAATGTCAGGAAACAGCTGATGTTTCTTTCCTGGAGTCATCCTGAGGGAGAGCTGCCGGCCCCCCAGGAACAGCTGCTGGGGTGCTGAGGCCCCCCGAGACATCCCAGGATGGGGTGGTGAGCATTGAATATGGATGGCTTTGAAAGGCTTTTATTGCCATGTTGTGAACTGACTGGTTGTAAGATTGAGTCTCCTCAGCTTGCAGGGGACACACTCGGATGCCCTGCATGGCCGGACCTGGAAGTTGCTCCTCTGTGCTTGTGAACTGTCAGGCAACCCCAGTGCTCCTCGGCTGTCTGAACCAAGTAATGACCCTGTGGGTGCCACCCACACTGGATTTTTTTTAAGGATTTATTTATTTATGCATACAAGAGCTGGGGTACAGGCCAGAACTGTGGGGGGTGAGAGGATTCACCAGAGACAGAGTGGGGAACAGAACAGGCAGATTGACTGAAATACACTGCTGAGGGGAGCAGCGGGTGAGACAGGAGAGGTCTGCTGCGCCATGTGGGTTGCTCCCTGGCCGGCCAGGGAAATGTGTCTTTTTTTTTTTTTTTTTTTAATTTTTTTTTTTTTTTTTTTTTTTTTATAGAGGCATGTTTTATTTATTTATTTGTTTGTTTGTTCGTTTGTTTCGTTTATACATGCACTGGGTACAGTCAGAAGCACGGGAGGGTGAGAGAATTCACCAGAGCCAGAGCGGGGAGCAGAGCAGGCAGAAGGACCGAAGTACACTGCTGAGGGGAGCAGCGGGCGGCAGGAGAGGTCTGCGCGCCATGTGGGACCCTCCTCTGGTGGCCGGGGAGCAGCCAGGGATCGAACCGGCGCCGCAGAGGCTGCGGGCAGCTTCGCAACCCAGCGCTCAACCGCTGCGCCACCGGGGAGGCCCATGGCCAGGGAAATGAACTCGTGCTACAGAGGCTGCAAGCTCAATAGGTTGCGTCTTAACCCCTTGTGCTACCATGGAGGCCCATCTTATTGATCTTTTGAGAAACTGACCATGTGTTAGCTCTCTAGGCCTGTCAACCCTTCCGTCATGCCCAAGCATTAGATGCACCGGCAATATTCCCAAGTATTTCAACAGATTTTGGTCGGTCTTGAGAAAAATCACTCCCATGACTTATTTATGAACTAGCTACACATAATTTTCAGAGAGCTCATTCACCCAAATTTATCATAGAATACAATTTAAGAAGAAAAAGTTAAATAGAGTATTTTAATTGAAATCCTTTTTTGAATAATATTAGCATTCAAGGATCCTTCCCCCCACCCCATGGTTATTACAGTGTTAAGTTTCTCCTTCAAGAAAATTAGCTGCAAATCCCTTCTTCAATATAAGGGCTGCCTTTCTTCTGTTTGCACCTCAGGCTCACACCTCCTGCTTCCCTGCCCTGTTTCAGGTGTCCAGATGCTGCTGTGTAGCGGGTTTAGCCCTCTGGATGTTCAGCGGTGTAGGGTAAGGAAAAAATGTCAGGCTTTTCTGCCCTCCTGCCATCAGGATAGATGATGGATCCCTGTGGTCCTGAGTGCATGCCTGATGGCGGGCACCTGGAGTAGGGTGTGGGCATAGGTAGATGGGATTCACCTGGGCTGAGACTGGGCTTTTAAGGGCGGCGTCACGGGGACGCCAGTAGAAGCCAAAAGAGAAGCCGAGAAAAGAAGCAGAGCCATGAGAAGAGCAGAGAGAAGGCCGGAGAGCCCAGAGTGAAGACTTGCTGGGGGCTGGGAGGCCTGCCAGCCTCCCGGCCCCGCAGCGCCCCTGCCTGCCGTGTGCCTGGTAAATCCCAAAAAAAGACCTGCAAAAGCCACTGAGGACTCTGACTCCTCCTGTACCCCGTCTGCTGGGTCAGAAAACCTGCACTGTGGTCTTCCTGCCCCTACAAGTGGCTAAGGTAATATGGGGTGGGGTGGAGGTGTTTTAACTCTTGGCTGGCCCCCTGAGGCTTCTGCCGCTGGGCCTGTCTGGCAGCTCCCTCCACACTGCCTTTCTCCATTCCCATTACCCCTCAGGCCAGTAGCCGCCTGATTTGGTTCCACCCCTCCCTTTCCTGACTGCTGCCAAGGCTGTGGAAGTAGTCTATTTATTAAGCTCTTAAATTATCCCAAATGCAATGTCCCATCTGTTTTGCGCAGGGACCATAACTAATAGAAATAAGGATTTGATCCACAGAGATTAGAAGGGGATAGCTGACCTCTTGGCGGTTAGAAAGGACAAAGGTGGGGGGTGTGTGTGTGTGCAAACTTGCTCACTGGAAGCATCACTGTACACAATTATAGCCCCTCCAAACCTTCCTTGAGGACACCCACTTTCTGCCTGTGGAACCTGCTGGTTTTAGTGCTTTGGGATTCAAAGCTCCCAACTCAGCACTTCAGGCCGGGGGCACCTCAAGATGGCTTTGGTGTGTTTTGGGGAGTAACACATTTTGATCCAGCAGCGTGGAGATCTGAATGTATGGACTGTGAATCATGGATCCTTCCAGTGTATCTCTAAGGAGGCCCCCTTACTGCTCTGCTTCCAGCTGACCCGTATTGTAGGAAAAATGAAAGGACAGCTGAATGTTGTTATGGGATGTTTGGGTCCCGTCAAAATTCAAAACCCTGGGCCTCCCCTGGTGGCGCAGCGGTTGAGCGCTGGGTTGCGAGGCTGCCCACAGCCTCTGCAGCGTCGGTTCGATCCCCGGCCACCGGCGAGGGTCCACAAAAAAAAAAAAAAATTCAAAACCCTAAGCTCCTTCAATTTGATGATGTTTGGAGATGGGTCACTGCAAGGTAATTAAAGTTTTTAAACTAGAAGTAACATTATATTGTAACATTACATACATTTCGGATGTTCATTCTTGAGAATGAACGGGTGTACACTACATTAAGGTCACTGCTGAGGGTCCAAATCTATTCTTTCACACAGCACCGTCTCTATTTTCCTGACTTCTTCACTCCTCTCCTCATCGCCCTACCTTTCTGGTTACCACGAAGTGGTCGTATAATTCAAAAGTTTACTTTTGTTTTATTTAGTTCATCTATTTCCTTTCTCTGTATAATGCATGAGTGAAATCCTGCTGTGGTGTTTTCTAGAAGTTTTATTGTGTGTAGTGATTCAGGGTAGACGACGTCAGAGGGAAGGGCTTGCATCATTGTATTAGTGTCCTAATAAGACACACCTGAGAGGCCTCCCTGGCGGCTCAAGGGGTTAAGACACAACCTCTGAAGCAATCCGCAGCTACTGTAGCACGAGTTCGATCCCTGGCCGGCCAGGGAGCTACCCACATGGCGAGGCAGACCTCTCCTGTCTCACCCGCTGCTCCCCTCAGCAGTGTGTTTCAGTCAGTCTGCCAGTTCTGTTCCCAACTCTGCACTCTGGTGAGTCCTCTCACCCCCCACACCTCTGGCCTGTACCCCAGCTCTTGTATGCATGAATAAGTCAATCTTAGTGGTGGAGGGGAAAGACACACCTGAGAGCCTGTGGCTTTCCCACCTGCATATGAGAGCACACAAGAGGCCATGGGAGCCCAGGACAAGATGGCGGCTGCCTACCCAGGAGAGGAGGCTGGGGGATGAAACCTACCTTGCTGGCACCTTGCTCTTGGGCTTTCCAGCCTCCAGAAAGAGAAATAAATTTGTTGTTCAAGCATGCCAGCCTATGGTATTTTCTGTGGCAGCCTGAGCTGGCTTTGGACAAGTGTGTGGTCATACGTACATCTGTGTTGTTTTATGAAGTGATCTAGTGTGGTTGTCTTTTCTCTTTTAGAAGTTTCTATTTTGATCAATACCTCCGTACAGCCTACTTTAATATTTAAACAAAGACAGTGGGGGCTTTTGGGCAGAAACTCAAGCTTTAAAGGCCAGTGTATCTTTCTCCGACTCCTTGAACTTGGAATTGAGCAAATATTCTCAATAAATGTTGCCAATTAAAAAGTCCCTTTAGGTATGGATGCCGAAAAGGCATCCTAAATGCAAGCGGGAAGGTGCTCACAGAAGGATGCCAAGCACCAGCGACTGTACAATTTCCGTTTTATTTTGTGTGCTTTTTATAGGATATAAATAATGACAAAAATTACAAAATTTATAACTGGAAGCCCAAGCATATTTACACGTTTCTGTTTCAGCAAAGCTACTATTTACTTTGCTCCTATACAATGTCCTTTTGGTACCATATTTTAGTGTTATTTTACTCTCAATTTACTACATACATATCAACAGTGAATAGGCAAAATATATACAAGGAACTGTTCAGTTCAAGTAATTTAATAGTGTATTAAAATTCTTCAACACTGAACTAAAAGCATATACATTTGTCAGTTTGAAATAAAATTTAGTTATCCTTCAAAACTCACCAACTGATGAACATAACTGGTAACCTCAGATTTAAAATAATATTGGTTAATAAAAAAATTAAGACAATCCCACAATTTATCAATATCGCTATAATGAACTTCAAAATGATTCACAATATGATCGGTTAGAACAATATACATTAAAATGTTATTTTTTTCTATAATGATATTGGTACTGTTTATATAATTTGATTCTACATAAATATACATTATGGTATCATACAAATACTCCACAGAGACATTAAAAAAATTAAAATGCCTTAAAGAAATGTAAGTAAATTTTATTTAATCAAATAGTAAGCAAACATTTATTTATTTATTTATTTTGTTTCAAGAAAAGAGTTTTATTACTTTGGAATTTCTTTTTTTTGTATTTCTTTTTTCTAGAAAAAAAATTTTTGCAATAGAATTTTATTAACATCTTTCTCAAACAAGGTTTCCATGACAGAAATCTTGACAGCAGAAGCCCTAGTTGTTTTTTTTTTTTTTTAACATGTCCTTTAAAACACTGTGAAGATTAAAAAAAAAACAATCTTTGCAGGCTTATGACTGTGTCAGCACTTTCGGTTTGAAGCCAGTCGGCTTCCCCAGGTCAGCTCTGCTGAGCATGCTCGGGGCTTTGCAACACCCGAGCCAGCCCTCTTGGAAGTAGAAATTTAGTTATTTGAAATCAATCAGAAACATCCCTCACAACGAACCTACTTCTCTTATCAATGCATGAATGAAACCTTCTTTTAATAAAAATATTTAATACAAGACACATTTTTCTGTGCATAATAAATTTCTCTGTTTGAAATCATTCTTAAATTGTGAATCAATCCATCGATGTAAAGGTTTTGTTTATCTGACAGTCGATTACATATAAAATCCACAAATATAGAAATTGGGAAATCCTACTGTGAAATTTCCTGGCAATCATGAGGGTGGTTTTGTCCTTTTGCAGTGGATGGAACTCGGGGATAGAATGGGTCTACAGAGGCGGTATGGCGGTAGTTCTGTTCCGATTCTACCTTTAAAACTGCTGACAGTGAAAAATAAACCCAAGAATTTTATACTTTTAGGCAGTATTAGAGATCCCCTGTACTTTTGTTTCAAAAGGTATTATCCCCAAATACAGCAGAGCAAGTGTTGGGTCAGAGTCCTTAGAAATACCTTGGGTGGTAGCAGGGAGGGGAATCAGCAAGAAATCTCAACTCGTGCCTGTCAGGGGTAAGGACTGGAAAGTCTCGGTGGCGCTTCCTGCCACTGGTGCAGAAAGAACTTCCCAGGAAGGGCCAGTGGCCTCTCGCCCGTGACAAGGCCACACAAACAGAGCAGTCTTCCTCCTGGGCTGGGTGGAAACGAAAGGCGAAGGAAAGCCTGCTCCTGGCTGCTCGGCGTGCAAGGCACCACGACGACGGGAGGGCGGGTGAGGATCAGAAAATTGTGGTTTCATACTTGGTATTAATTCCCCTCTTGGTTTCTTGTCCCGGCTCTACAATCCATGGCAGATTGGCCAAAGTCTTTTGCTCAGATGGGTCGATCTGCTTTAAAACAGAAAGGCTGACGCCTGTCATACGGCACCTGTGCAGGGGGGCAGGCATGCATCCTGACGCCCTGACGCTGCCCGGACCCAACCCCGTGCCTCGGCAGGACTTCCAGGAGGCTGGTGTATGAGAGTCCTTGTTGGTCTCTGGACACACATTTATTGCATAAGGACTGTGTGCAAGGCACTGGAGGGGGGGGACAGCGAAAGAGACACGGCCTTTGTCCTCAAGGGCACACAGATGGGGAGCAGACATAGAAACAGATTTCAATACTGAGAAGTGAGCTATGAGGGGAAGAGAGGGCAGTCGGTGGGCACACACGAAAGCCATCAGCTCCATGTCAGGAAGCCAGGGAGGCTTCCTGGAGGAGGTGGACCAGCTCATGTCACTCCCTGGTTCACAAACCTCCAGTGGTTTCTATCACAGTCAGAATAAAAGTCAAGGTCCTCATGGTGACCTACCATGGCCCTGCCTGTCTTTCTGCTCCAGCCATATGGGCCTCCTGGCCGCTGCCTGGACCGAGTCCACGCCTGGGCCCTGGGGCCTGTTATCTGTTCTGCTGGAATGTCCTCCAGACACCCGCAGGCTCTGCACTGTAGTGTCACTCAGGTTGTGGCTTAAACCTGTTAACCGCATATAAAATAGCACCCCAACGTCTCTGTTCTCCTCATCCGCTCTGTTCTTCATAATATGCATGCCACACACATACCGTATTTATCTGTTCATGCTCCATTACAATGTGTGCTCACAAAGGTGGGATTTGGTCTGCTTTGTTCCCTGTTTTTCCCCAATCTCAGAAAAGCTCCCGGCAGCCCAGTAAATTGCAGGCACACAAGAAAACCGATAGAATGCATATTATTTAAAGAATGAGTGAGATAAGGCCTAAATGAAGAGCTGGACGACAAGCAAGAGTTCACCTGGTGGAGGTGGGGGAGGGGGGAGCAGCAGGTGCAAAGTCCCTGGGGTAACGGGGTGAAGAGGTGGGCAGGGCTGGGTCAGGTGGAGCTTTGACCCAACCTGAGCGGGGCTGGAGTGCCGTCACCCCTGTGCACCCCGAGTCAGACTGGCCTTTCTGGGCTTGGACCGTGAGTACTCAGGAGCCCACACCCCACTGCTGCCCTCCCGTTTGTGTTTCTGTCTGCCCTGGGCCTGCACCTGCTCTGCTCAGGAAGGCCTCTCCTGTTCCTCCTGCACTGTGAGTTTGGAGCTTTCTGCAGATTGGGGGATCCATGCCCACCAGCTACCTTCCAGCGTGATCTGTGTCTCCACCAGGCTGTGGGGAGACTTCACACATCCTTAGGGATCACGGATTCTCTCGCAACAAAACCACAGGTGCCGAGGGACATGGAATGGGGCCCCCGTTGAGGGGGGACGGGATAGCAAGGTGTCTTCAGAACACCCGTGTGATTCACTGTGCAAGTTCCTACTTCTCAGGGAAGGATTCTAGATGACTATTCTACGAGCCCGTATGCACCCGACCCTTTGTGCTCTTCTGGAAGGAATCTATGGGGACAGAGTAACGTCAGCTGGAGGCTCCTGCCGTGGACAGAGGCATCCAGCCTGCACGCGAGCAGGACAACAGGCTGAGAGAGTGTCCCGGAGACATTCTGGAAACTCCTGCACATTTCACTTACATTTCCGTGGGGGGCAGACAGACAAGAAACAAATGCTACACAGAATTAAAAGCAGGTGATACGCTTGAGCGTGACTAGGTGTCTACCTTGGTTTGGGTGGTCAGGAAGAGCCTCTTTGTGTAGCTGAGACCTGATGAAGAGATGGAGTCAGCGGAAATTAGGGGGAGAGTTTTCCAGGTGAAGGCTCAGGTGGGGGTGTCAGAGAGGAGTGTGCTGGGAAGTTAGGTTTTGGGGTCCTGGGGGGCAGCGGTGCTGGGATCGGGTCTTTGTCACAGAAGAGCTCCCTCTTGCGCGGGAAGGCCCGGGTCTGCTGGGGGAGGGGGGTGCGCCATGGCGGGCGCTGGGAGGAGAGACGTGGAGGGGACGTGGGGCAGCGTGGCTGGGTGTGAGGTTACGTTTTAGGGATCTGCTTACGTTGGAAAAAAGGAGGTGAGGGGAAGGCGGGGGTCAGGGATGGCTTCTAGATCTGGGGCTGGAACAGCATGGGGGAAGGGTGTGTTGCCTGATGACTGGGAAAGATGGAGCAAGAAGCAGCTCTGAGGGGAAATCCGAGAATTCTGCTCTGGACATACTAGGTATCCGCTTTCTGTTAAATATCAAAGTGGAAATTGAACATGAGTCTGGATTTCTGGGGGCCGGGGGAGTCTGGATTCTGGGTAGGTGCTGAGGGAGGACCAGGGGCCAGAGTGTGGTGTCGGAAGGAAGGATTTTCAGAGGAGGGGCAGTTGCAGGTGATGATCAGCGATGAGGGGAGTCAATGAATGACTATGCGGGGGACCCCAGAAGTGGGCTGTCAAGGAACAGAGAGGCCAGATGCTAGAGGGGAGGACCCCATGGATGCTGGAGTTGCCATGAATGGTGACAGGAGTCAGGGCCAAAAAGATTGTCAACAAGAAGCCACATGGTCACAAAGAGAGGTGTCTCTCTGTAAACATGAAAAATTCCCACAGCACCCCCCCACCCCGGAAACTGGGGACAGGGGTCAGTGGGAAGGAGGAGAGAGTTACAGATGGAAGGACGTGTGGGCACGAGAGCAAAGCTCCTGGGGGATGCCTGCCTGCCCCCCGCCTCAGGGTTTCCAGGATACCAGACAGCAGCTGGAGCCAAGCCCAGAGGAGAGGCTGCTGGGCACCTTCCAGCTCGGGCACTGCTGCTACCAGAGGACGCCCCTTTGAAGTCAGGGGAGTCTGCTCGACCAGGATGTGCAGAGCATGTTGGGGGGGGTGGTGAGGAATTGCTGGTGGAAGGCGGGTGACAGGGAGGGGGGCTGTGCCTTCTGAGCAGACGCCGCTCTGTAGGGAGCCTGGGCTCAGGGGAGCCAGGGAGCAGGGCCAGGTGCCAGCCAGGGTCTGCCCAGGACACTGGCCCTCGGCCTCCGGGGCATGTCTTGATGCCCACCCTGGGCGTGTCCAGCTTCCTCGAGCTGGGTGCCTGGACGGCCTGCACGGTGAGCCTCTGCCAGCCTCACTGCACGCCAGGCGTTTGCAGGAGGCTCTGTGCCCGGGGGTGGGGAGTAGGAGCTGAAGCCTCAGGGGACACCGCGCCAGGCTCGCCTGGACCTTCAGGGAAGGTTCACCAAGGAACAGAGGCAGCGCCCAGTGTTCTCCAGCGGGTGACCGCGGGTGACAGAAAGTGGGGTTTTCACAGGAGCCCCCAGGTCCAGGCAGATGTTGCCTCAAGGCTGCAGGAACTGGGCTGAGCTGGTGACGGACGCAGACCCGCGGAGGCCCAGGGCGAGGACAAAAGGGTTCCCCAAAGGCCCCCACACCACGCCAGGGCCCCCCAGAGCAGCCCCCTCGCCCTCCTCTTCAAGGTTTTCAGAGCCACCGCGTCTTTGCTACTTACCACGGACTTGCGAATGCTAACGCGGGGCTTGGGGATGGGTTTGGAGGGTTTGTTTTCGAAGCTTTCCGGCAGCGTGGAGGAATGCCCCCCTTTCCTGGCTTGCAGCGCCAGCTGGTACGCGACTTCAAATGCCTGGCCCAGCGTCAGGATGATCTCGTAGGCTAAGTTCTGCAAGAGAAACGAGACCACATGGACAACAGGGACACTGCAGGTCGGAGCGAGCCCGGGGCCGAGGCCGCGGGCAGGGAGCTGTCGAGGACCTGGAGCTGCTCCGCCCGACGTGGCGTGGCGCTGAGTCAGGGCAAGTCTGCGGGAACGGGGCGCGCAGGCCCAAGCTCAGGTCTGCGGGAGGCGCCGGTCACGGAGGCGGCGCTTGCCCCGACAGCCACACCAAGGAGTCGGCTCCCTGCTTCTCCCACTGCGAGCTGGGCCCACCCCCACCCCTCTGGAGCCCACTCCTTTCAGAGCCCCCCTCCTGGGCGTCTGGGTGGCTCCCCAGGCCTTGGGAGGAGAAGGGTTACTCGGGGCCTGCGGCTGAGCTCCGGGCGCGCCCCAGCGTGGCTGTGAGGCTGATCCCACACGCTCCACGGGAGGTGTTCTGAGAAGTTGGGGGCTTTTTACCTCCAACATCTGTGATTCAGTGAACATCTCTGAAACACAATCAAAATCTAATTTAGGTGGAGGGGAGCGCATTAGTCATGCTGGTGTGGCATCTCGCAGTGGCAGCAGCGAGCGTGCAAACAGAGCCAATTATCCAGCTAGTTCTTGAGGCGTCTGAGCGCCCTGTGGGTCCACTCCATATTTTATCATCAAATCAGCAGCAAGACGCGGGGGGTTCTGGCAGGCTGGCAGGCCAGGCCCGGCAGCCCCCCGAGAGGGGGCCTTTCTCCAGACCTTCAATCCATCCCCTCAAGACGACCTCTCACTTCCTTCTCCTCGCTTCTCCTGACACGTAGCTCTGATCTCTGCCTTCTGCCCCAAGCACAGCTCCGCCCTGTCTCCTGCCACTGAGGAAACCCGACATTATCTGGCCCCAGAAAGGCGGCAGGATCTCCGCCACACCCCGGAGGACAGGGTGTCTCCAAGAAGCGGACGCCTATCCGTCGGGGAGCTTAACGTCACCCCACTGGCTGAGCGCAGGCAGGGTCAGCCCCGAGTTTTCATTCTGAGGACTGGCTCTAGAATGTCTGGTCCTGGCTTTTCAAACCCACAGAAGTACATTTTGCTGATTCTCAAGCTGGGTCCTCTCCCTCGTGGCCCGATCTCCCCTGCTGTCCCTCCCCCTGTCTCCCCCAGCCGCAAGCACATGGAGCAGTTCAATTGCCAGGATTCCAGGGAGCTCGGCTGGAGGGCGTTCCCACTCCACGGGGATGGCCTTCAGCGGCCGCAGGGAAGAGCCCAGACTTCAGGTCAATGCCAAGTGCTCATGGTCTTAAACCAAGTGGGGAAAATGCTTCTGAGCTGGAGAGCTGGGTGGACAGAGGCGTTTGTCTCCTCTGAGCTCCCCGTTAAGCAGCCACGGTCCCACAAGACAGACGTGTGCTCGCTGGAGGCGCTGAACCCCGAGCGTCTCCCACAGTGAACGCTGAGCCCGTGTTTGCCTCCGAGGATGAGTCAGACTAGTAAATTAGTAATGCACGGCAAATGACAGTGGAGGAGGGCTGGCAGACAGCTCTGGCCATCCCTGAACGAGGGGGCTGAGCCCTGTGGCCACCTACACGTGCCACCCCCAGCACTGTCAGCTCTGCCTTCTGGTGCAGGGACCCCTCGGCGGGCAGCCTGGGGCTTCCAACTTCAGTGGTCTCCACCTGGAGCCTCAACTCTCGGCCTTGCTCACCGCTGCTGTGGAGACGGAGGATGCCTGTCTGTCCTGGACTGGGAGCAGATGTTCCCTGGACCAGGGAAGGTGTCAGCCTCAGGGTCCCATAGCCTGCAGCTTGTCGAGCTGGGTGTCACTTCCTTTATTATTAATTTAGAAAACGCTCCTGGGCCTCCCCGGTGGCACAGCAGGTTGAGCGCAGTGCTGTGAAGCTGTCCGCAGCCTCTGCAGTGCCAGTTCGATTCCTGGCTGGCCAGGGAGATACCCACATGGCACGGCAGACCTCTCCTGGCTCGCCCGCTGCTCCCCTCAGCAGTGTACTTTCGGTCCTTCTGCCTGTTCTGCTCCCTGCTCTGTCTCTGGTGAATTCTCTCACCATCCCGTGCCTCTGGTTGTACCCCGGTGCTTGTATAAATAAATAAATCTTAAAAAAAAAAAAGAAAGAAAACGCTCTTGAAAGTGAGACTCACTGACAGCTCCGGTGTCTTCAAGTGAAAGTCAAAGCTGCTCATTTGAGCAAGTGAGATTTTTCACATGACTATTATGGGAAGCCTGGCGCTTCTGAAAGGCAGGGGTTAGAATGCTGCCCTTCATTTTTAATTAGTTTCTGGTATGAACAAACTTCTCGACTAACATGCTGTGGAACTATGGCTTCTGGCCGAAGACCAGGACTGTGGTCTCCTGGCTTCTGCTTTCCTTTAGCATGAAGGGGTATAGTGAAGACTTGAACATTACACTTTTGTCTGAGTTACTGATGCTGCATGTCAGGGAGGGCCTATGGCACCGGGACTGTGTCTCCAAGGAGCAGCTTGTTGCTGCCGAGCCGTGTGCACGAGAAGTGCTGTTATGACACACCAGGGACCTTGGGGGGGACAGACGCCTGCAGAGGGACCTGAAGACATGCATTCAATAGGGAAGGAGGGTTTGCTTATCCTGCCTCCCCTTAGGAGCGCCCCCACTGTTTAAAGCAGAAGGAGAGTTATCATGACAGTATGAGACCCAATGGGGATGAAGCCAAAAAATAATACTGCAATGTCAGAGAGGCTGGGGTGACAAGCCCTTGCTTCCCCTTTGAGTCAGGCTTGTGGCCCCAAGAATGGCTGGCACCCGAGGGGCCAGGGATGCTGCTCAAAAAGCCTGGAAGCCCAACCCGTCTCTGCTTGCAATATATTATTCCTGCAACTGTGGGGAGGTCAGAGCCTGATACCATGCCTGGGACACTGCAGGCACCAGCAGGTGATGGCAGAACGAATGAACGGACGCACGAACGCATATTCACACACAAGCTGGACACTATTAGTCACTATAGGTAGCACTGCTACCCTTGAGGGGTTAGGCACTGTGCTAAGCTCTCGGTAGATTTCATTTGAATCTTATCACGATCATCTGCAGTACTACTATATCACCATGCTCTTTTATAGATGAGGACACTGAGGCTCAGAGAGGTTAAGTAACTTGCCCGGCATCACACAGCCAGGAAGCTACAGAGCTATGATAAGAAGCAACTTTTACGACTTAAAATCTATGTTCTAAACCACACCCACCCTGGGGAGCTCATCTCTAAGAGGTCACCGCCAATACTTTTCCTCCATGTGCAGCCAGGTGCTTCCCCTGTTGGGAGGGCAAGTCTGTTCTACCTTCTTGAATATGGAAGGGTGTTTACTGGCTCCCCGTTAGTAGGAGGTGGCAGAGGGGACACACTGGTGAGGAGTCTTGCTGCTCAGGCTGGGCCCTTGCTCCCAGGGAAACCACTCGAGTCTGAGCACCCGCGATCCACCACTGTGGGCTACAGGGAGGTTGCCTGGTGAGAAGCAGCAGCTGCTGCCATGCTGGCCCAGGGGTCCAGGCTCGAGTGAGGAAGTCACCCCGTGCCTTGAGGCTCCAGGAGACACCACATAGAGAGGACCCAAGGCCCAGACAGATGACTCTGGCCCAGCAGTCCAGCCAGCTGAGTCACCCCAGTGGCAGTCCCAGAGATGGTGGAGCAGAGCAGAGAACTGCCAAGCTCCACCTCAACTCCTGACTCATTTAATAATAAAATAATAGATGCTTTTTTATGCCACTATGTTTTGGGGTGATTTGTTAAGCAAAGACAGGTAGCTGGAACAGTGTGTGAGGCTGAAGAGGCTTGGCTGCCCCCACTTGCCCGCAGAAAGGGGAGCCAGCTGGGCATTGGCATCAGCACTGGGTGAACAGGGCGCAGCCCATCCTGAAGCCAGGCTGCGGCTGAGGCTGATGCCCGTGACCCCTCCTGGGTACAACGTCACACCGTGAGCACTGATGTGACCCTTCCCTCTGCCAGCCCAAACCACAGAGCTGGCTGGTACAACCGTTCTCATTTTCAGTTACTACCTCCCTTGGGCCATAAATGCAAACTCATCAGCCTTATTCACTGCCTTAACTCTCTCGAAGCTGTAATCTGGTCCTCCTGCGACCTTGGCTCCTTCTGCCTCTCCTACTTATTGGAAAATACCTTCCTTGACTTTGGCAGTGTGAGTCTCTTCCCTGGGGTCACACTTAGGACAACTGGCCTTGAGTATTTTCTACTTTACTAGACCACCAAAGAAGATGCGAGCCCACAAGCCACAGCCTTGAGTGCACCTGTGTGTGTGTGCGTTCAGAGGGTGGGTGTGGTGGGGTGATGACTGGGAAGCAAGGGCTCTGAGCCTCACTTTGCTTATATTCAAAATGGGAATAACACCTGCAGCACCCACCTTAGTGGATTTGAGAATTTGTGAATCACTCAAAATAATACTTGACCTGATGACCACAACGCTGCTATTTGTTAGTTACTGTCTGCCATGCACCGTGCCTCCCGCTCTAACGGGCCATCTCATTGACTCTTAACCACCACCCTGTGTCGACGCGCTAGCATTGCTCCCGTTTCACCATGTGAGATGGTCAGGCCCAGCAAGGTGACCCGACTTGCTCCTGAAGCCAGCACCTGGCTGAGCTAGGGTCTGAATCCAAGGGTTTGGATCAGCTGTGCATCACACCTTTGAACTAGACTGAAGATAAAATAAAAGGCTTCTGTTTTTATTAAAAAAGAAACAAACCACAAAACTTAAAAACATTAAAATGCAAAAGGTCCTGCATCCTAATTGATGCATCCTGGCTGGGGCGAGGGCACCCTGAGACCTTGCCATTTGCCTGCCCTGCCAGGATCGGTGGAGGGGCAGCCTCCAGGCAAAGGGTACCCTTGATGATTTGACATGAATCAACACAGGGATTCTTAACCGGTGGCCTGCCCCTTCCACGGTGTGGGGGTAGGAAGTAACACATCCTCTTAAAGATGGGGGCGGGGAATCCCAACTCAACGGGGACAGCAGTCCAGGAAATACAAACACCA